TGTGTGTGTGTGTGTCTGTGCGCGTGTTTGTGTGTGTTTTTGTGTATGTTTTTGTGTGTGTTTGTGTCAACTTGTACTTGCAAGTGTCGAATAGTGAATGTGTGTGTGCACGTGTGTGTGAACTTTTGTGTGTAGCTGTCGATTTACCTGCCTCTCGGAAAGAAAAAGGGGGCGGGAGGGGGGTGCTCTCTGGCTCCTGCTCAAAGTTTCCAGAATGAAAATCAGTCATCATAAAAAGAAGGAACCACATTCTGTTTCCAAACTCTCGGTTTGTTTGCTTGTTTTTAATTTTTTCCTTCCGGCACATCTGCGGGGTAATGTTGACAAAATGGCCGCCTGTGGATAACTGACTCGTCATAAATCTCTATTGGTTAATCTCGCGCAAACACAGACAGTGTTTGCAGGTTTTGGAATCATTTCCTTTTCCGTGTTCCTCCTACCTCCTACCCAAGCAATCTCCCCTAGCTAGAGGAACGTTTCGGTGGCTGAACGATGAGATGTGAAGAAATTCTCTCTTGGATTTTAATTTTTTTTTTTTTAGTACTGGCTTAGCTGAATTTTAGAGTGTTTGTCTGCCGTTTTCTAAAGACATACATTCTTCATTGCTCGACTTATTGACAAATTGTGTCTCGACACGGTTGAATCAGGCGCTCGTCAGTTTTGGGGCGAATGAAATTATTGGTACAAATCATAAAATGTATTCATTGGTCTTGCATTTGATTTTAATGCAGGAAAAATATCCATCTATCTTGAACACAAGTCGTAATATCCTCAATTGATGGAGGTAGGGGGTGCCCGATGTCAGAGTAAAATTGCGGGTGGTTTGCGGGTGCTCTGGTGTGGTTTGCTCCTTCTTTCCTGTCAAACATCTATCGTCCTTATCTCCCTTCCTTCTATTTTATGTTTGTTACTCTCTTGTAATACCTCTAATCTTCTGGCGCCCATATGACCTTATGCAGTTGCGAGTGCCGTAATACCTCTACTAAAACAAAGAGTAAAATTAGCGAGAAAATGGCCTCCAAAATTTGATGACTTCCAACGCTTTATAGTCCTTGGGAATTGCAAATTTACATTTTTCGTGCGTTTGATCAACGTTTGTCAATAAAGTCCACATAGAATGACTAAGAATGTGTGAGTGTGTGTCTGTCTGTCTGTCTGTCTGTCTCTCTCTCTCT